GCTGGGGGAAAAGTGAGTTTTCTTTACAAAGAACCCCCTGGCGTGATTATAAGGAAATAAGGAACCACGTTACCATCAGCTCCAAGACGCAGAAACATCCGCAGCTGCTCATGCCACGTTTTCCAATACACAAGCTGCTCGACTCGGTCTCTAACAGGTCATTAACTGCCGTCATCCTGGCTCTAAGCTACCGAAACTGGGGAAAGGTTGTAACGTAACCGCTAAAGACCAGTCTCAACAGTTGTAGCATGAGCAACCCAGGACCCTGCCGTTAGGAGGTTAACAAAAAACCCCAACAAGACCAAAAAAACAACCTTGCAGGTCCTCAGGAGCGCATCCCCTGAAAGCCCACGGGATCGCACTCGAGGCGAGGTCTCTCGGTAGGGGAGGACTGCAAGAACGGGCAACGCGTGCAGAGCGCCTCCTGATGAGAGGCCCGAGCACGGGGACAACCCGGAGGCTTTTTAACCCATTCGAAGTGCTGCACTTCCATGGAGATAAGAAACGGTAGCGTTAATTAGCTTGAAAAAAAATATATATATATACACATACATATATATACACGTCCGTAGCAGTTTCTGCCACAAGACAAACAGGAGGAGTTGCAGTCCCAGGGGTAGAAGTGGTTGGTTTACATGGATGTAGAAGTGGTTATAGGAAAAAGCAAGTAGCCTGTCACTGCCAGCCAGCTGTGAAGGAGGAAACGCTCATCTCCAAACACAAGGCAAAGCTGCTGAGAAAGCACGCAGCCCCCAAGCTCTGAAAGCACAGCACCCTAAGAGCAGTCTCTGAAAGCAGGTTTTTGGTTAAGGCACAAGCTTAGGAGTCAGAACACCTGGGCGCCGCTTCGGGCTTGGCGAGCAGCTTTCCGCGCAAGCGAACTTCTCCCTTTACGTCTCGGTTTCGCCACCCCTAAGAACGGGAAAGGTGCTCACCTCCTCGGGCAAGGCCCGTTTCCTCAAAGAGCTACGATTGCGCCACGTCGAGAACGGCCCGCGAACCTCCCAAAGAAACAGGTACTAGAGAAGAGCAGAGAGCGTTGCGATTCTGCGGTCGCGGCACCAATCTCGGCAGATCTGGATTCAGTTCTCGATTCTAGGAAAGACTGAGAGATTCTCGTCAAGTAACTTAATCTGCGTCTCGGTTCCCCAGCTGGGAAGGAGGGTAGTTTCCCCTCCCTCCCCTCGCCGGCTTCCCAACGTACTGCGACGGCGCCCATCTGCGCGCGTGACGCGGGGCATCTTCACAGCCACAAGAACCACAAAGGTAAACCACCCAAAAACTAAGCCAAAAGCATATCTGCTTATTTAAAAGGTTTATTTAACTTTTTAATTTGAGGTAAAATACTTTTTTTTTTTTCTTTCAACTTCCATAACAAAATACAGAGCTATCAGATACCCCTGGAAAAAATATGTATATTATACATATATTTCTATAACATTATATCATATATATATAATATATATATGCAAACTTTTTTTTTGAAGACTTTATAGAAAGTGGAACGTCTAAAGGCACTGCACAATGGAGTATTTAAAGACTACTTTACATTTTTATGTACATATACACACACACTTTTAATCCTGCTTTCAATGGACAAACAGCTCAAGCTAACAAATTCACTGCTCATATGTGTATGCATCCATACTAATCCCTGCTGAATCAATTCTAATAAAGTCAAAGAACATGCCTCATGAAAAGTGATTTTCTTTTAAAAAAAGTTTCTATTGGTAAATACTTTCTCCTTAAAAACACTCTAAAATCGAACTTTTTTTTTTAAACAATCTGATTACGAGTATTTCAAACCAAAAGAAGAAATTCATTTTTTTTAAACCCACCAGGATCCATAAGAAAAAAAAAAGAGGGAGAGAGAGAGAGAGAGAGAGAGAAAGAGAGAAAGAGAGGAAAAAAAGGTTACTTTAAAAACAAAAACGTAATTATGGAATAAATAAAAACAAGGGACAACCAAGCAATGGGTTTAACCTCCCGTAGGCGAAGACAGTGACACGATCTGCCACCGCGGTTAATGCTTCTAGAGAGGGGCTTTTCTTTCTCTTCACCCACGGTACCGGGAAGATGAAATCCCCTACGTGGGGCAGGACACGAGCAGCCGCACAAGTCTCCCGCTCGGGACAGTCTTGCACAACCCTTGTCCGCAGGACGGGCGCAGGTTTGAAGGGAGAGGGAGAAATCGGATCGGTTTTAAAACTCGGGAGCGTATCAAGTCTCAGGGCCCCAGCAATTTTGCAAGACTCGGTTGCCATTATGAGCAGATGTGCGGCTGATCTTCCCTGCCCTGTGTTGATCTTTTTTCCCTCCCCGCAAAATCTTGGATTGCAGCTGGTTGTCCGATTAAAGTCTCTTTCCTACAGATTCTCTATGACTAAACAAAGCAAAAAATGGTTTAAACATTAACATGCTCTTGATTAATTAATACAGGTGGACGTTGAGATTCCAACCATTTAAACTTTACAAGTTTAAATATTTTGGCACATTGGAATATATATATTTTCTTTTAAATGTATTTATAAGCTTCCTCCTCTGAAGCTGCTGCTAGGCAAGGTGAAGTCTGGTCAGGAGGAGCCCCTGCCTTTGCACAAAGGTGACCCCCCGAGCCAGCGGGGAAGGGGGTACCGCTGCCCACGGGAGCCTCGCCGCCCCCTCCTCCGAAGCAGAGTGCATCACCTGGAGTCAGACGTACCCAGCGGGTCACTGGTCCGGCGTCCTGAGAACCTGAGTCCTTTATCCCTGAACTTGGAGCTCCCAGTTTGCAGTGCAATGGCTATGAAGAAACCCCCGGCCCCAAAACCGATCATGAACTTTTAAAGCCAAACGACAGTTCCACGTAGTCAACGGTTTCCCCTTAAAGAAGTGCGAAAAGGGGCAACTTGTACTTCCCTCCCCTCCCTCCCGCCCCCCTCCCCTAAACGGAAGCAGCATCCACGGACTCCGGCACTTGGGTACGATTGGGGGGGGGGGGCGGCGCAAAGGCGCCCCTTCCCCCCCCCCTTCCCCCTTTTCCTCTGTGCTTGGCTCCAAATTTGGAGGTAAATCCAGGCGCGAATGAAAGCAGCCCTGCGGGTTGGCGGTTACAGCCAAGAACTGGGAGCTAGGAGGTCCGCAGGTTTCAAGCCCAGCTGAGCAGCAGCTCAGCTCGCGGCGTCGGACAGATTGCTCAAGAGGGCACAAAGCGGGAACGTAGCTGCAGCTACGACGAACTAGCCCGAGCGAGTAGACTACGACCCCCTTCCCCGTACCGAACGCGAGCTCTTGCATCGCTTCTCGGGCGGTCGTCTCCCCCCTAAGAGCCCCTCCTCGCGCTCCGGACGGTATTTTCGTTTCAACGGGGCCTTAGCGGCGTCTCAACGCGCCTGCCCCGATCCCAACGGGCAAGCTGCCGCCTCAGCTGCACAGGCAAAAAGTTTACGTGCCTAATAGCGTATGCAAATAACATTGTGCTCACACGCTCCCCGGCCCTCTTACAACAGTAACTAAGTCCTCGATTAAAGAAATCTGCCTGCACAAGCTGTTCGCCTAGAATTGCGTGAACAACCAACAACGCTGTAGATACAACGCCAGCCCCGCGGAGGTCAACTGTTTTGACGTTCCTTTCGCGGAATCGTGAGAAATTCACCCCTATATAGCGGGCGAGAACCACGTTCCTTGGTGGGATCTGGAACCTAGGTTAATTATCCTAACGAGAAAACGCAGCTATGCGGGGAAATAGCAGATTTATAGCAGATACAGCAAGATTTACACAGCAAACTCAAGAGCAGCTACCAGCGCACAAACTGCTCCCCTTCCCTCCAGTATCAACCCACCCTCTTAAAAAAAAAAAAACCCACCAAAAAACAAAAAACCACGTACTTCTGACCCCCTCCTGCCTGTGCCCTGTGCCAGCCGACAGAGGCATCATCGCTTTGAAGGCCTGACCTATTCCTCAACTTCCGCACGATCCCGTACTTCTGCAGCCACCGCACGCGGCTTCTCTCAACGCTCCGTCACGCGACAAAATCCAATGCCGTCCAGAAACCCAACCTTGGCCAAACGCATCCGGCCCTTATACAAGCTCCTTCTGTCAATAGACCCTGATCGCATAAAGTGTACACGTAGTTAAGGCATGAGTCAAAGTGATAGGGGAACCAAACAAAGGAAATAAGATTTAACAAAGCTCCTGCCATTCCTTCTCTATGAACTCACCACAATCATTTCAGCGTTAATCTTCCAATCACTCCCAGCTCCACCCATACAATTAGGAAAAAAAACTAGGGTACATTTTAATGCGTATATTAAAGGCATTAGGTTTTTTTTTTTTTTTTTTTTCCCACCCCACTCCCTTCCCTGAAAGAGTCTACAATTTGCTCATGGCTTCTACAGTATTTCAAAAAGGCTAAAAGAACAACCACCGTTTCTTGAAGCACTACCAAGATCTGCTCGCCAGGAACGCGGCTCGGGCCACTACCGCTGCTTTCTCAGCAGCGTCCCACCTCACCGACGCCAAGGTGACCTTCTGATCTGTGTCTTTCTGCAACCTACTCCATTTTTAAAGACAGTGCAATATTCCCTCTCCCCCGACCCCCCATCCCTCCCAGAATACAGACAGCTTCCGACATGGACAAACGTCACATCTCAAATTGTCAGGAAATCCTCTCCCACCATCACACCAGACTCCATAACAAAAGGAACTAGATGAATTCAGAGATTCCTGCTTCTATAAATACTAGAGCATATATAAAATAGATTATGTCTGGAGTCCCTCAGGCACGGTGGAGGCCTCAACCCCTCCGGAGTTCACGCAAGGTCTGAAGCTCGCGCACAAAACGTCAGCTTCCCTCGCCTCTCCTAGTCAGAACAAGACAATCGCGTCTCACCTGCAATTCAACAATGAAAACAAAGAACACAAAACCCTAGTCTCTAGAATTATCAAACCATTCTAGCCCCAGCCCC